GGGGAGATGGCTCAGTGGAATAAGCGCTTCCCTGGCAAGCGCAAGGGCCTGAGTTCAATCCCCGGTTCCGCCAAAAAAAAAAAAAAAAAAAAAAAATTAAGACAGGGTCTTACTAGCCTTACTTTGAAATCACTGTGGTGCCCAGGCTGGCTTCAAATTTGTCACCCTCCTGTTTCCGAAGTGCTGGGATTATAGTCTTGTGCAATCCTGCCTGGGAATATCTGTTGTGTTGTGCTGTGTTGTGTTGTGTTCTGTTCCTTTCTCTCTCCCACTTTCCCCCTTCCTCCTTTTTTCCTTCCCTCCCCGTCCCCCTTTTTCCTCCCTCCCTCTCTCTCTCCTTTTGAGACAAGGTCTTGCCATGTACTTCAGGCTGACCTTGAACTTACTGTATATCCCAGGGTGGCCTTGAACTTGCAAATATCCTCTTGCCTCAGCCTCCCAAATGCTAGGATTATAGGCATGTTATGTTTTGTGTCTGGTGTCCCCCCCAAAGCCTCATGCAGTCATGGGGCAGCTTCCCAGACTTTGTGATTGATTACTGTGGGTGTGGATGTTGCACCAGCCCTGGGGCAGGTGATTTGCATTACCGTGTAAGGAGAGGAGAGAGACTGTCTAGCTGCCTGAGCTGCTGCCACTGAGTGCCTTTGCTCTGTGCTGTTTGCCACCCCCATGAAAGGTTGCTGTCTGCATGTGCCACTCTGCCTTGGAGCCAGCCAAGTATGGGCTGAAACCTCCAGTAACTGTGAGCTTTTTGGGTGTTGGATATTTGTCCCAGCAGTGAGAGAAGAGTAACCAAGACAAGGCATGTGCCACCATGCTTGGCTTTTTGTCATGTTTCTTAGTAGTTAAATTATTCTGTGTAATTCTAGGACAGTGATGGAGAACCTTTCAGAGCTTTCCATGATAACAAATGTACTATATGGTTTGCCACCTCTGTTCTAGAATCTGGATAAAGTTATCTAAACTCCATTTACCACTAGTCTACTTTCTGTACCTGTATATTGGCCTTTCTGAATATCTCAATTTAGTAGAGTCATGCAGTGATTAGTCATTTGTGTTTAGCTTCTTGAGGTTTGTGTAGGCATGTTCTTCAGGTTTATCCTTTTTTTTTTTTTTTGCGGAACCAGGCATTGAACTCAGGCCTTGAGTTCTACTGAGCCATCTCCCCAGCCCCGGTTTATCCTATTATAGCATGTCAGAACTTTTAAAAATTGCTGAATAGTACTCCATTGTATAGGTACACTGTATTTTGATTATTCAATCACCAACTTTGAGCATTTGAGTTGTTTCCACCTTTGGCTAATATGAAAAACAATACTGTTAATATTTACATGTAAGTCTTTATGTTGACATATATTTTTGTTCCTTGTGTTGGGTAGGTTCTTAGCAGTAGAATTCCTGCATCATTTAAAAGTTTGCAGTAACAACATTTTTTTTTTTTCTTTTCAAGACAGAGTCTTGCTATGTATCAGTCTGAATTATGTGGCCCAGACTGGTCTTGAGCTTGTGGTCCTCCTGCCTCAGTTTCCCAAGTTCTGGGATTATAGGTATGCACCACTGCACCTGGTGCCAGAGTTACTGTTTTTTCTTTTTGTGGTACTGAGGATGTAATTTGGACCTTGCACTTGATGCTGCTGAGTTATGTCTCTGGCCCGAAATATAGAACTTTTATTTATTTATGTGTTTATTTTTTAAAATGTGTTCATACAGGGTCTCACTGTACAGCTCGGACTGGTAGTGATTCTCCTGTTTTCAGCTTCCCCAGTGCAGGGATTACAGGAGTGTGCCACCAATGCCAAATTGTGTTGTAAAGTGACTGGACCGTTTTGTATTTCTACCAGCAATATGTAAGGACTTTGGTTTTGTCATATCCTTGTCAGCCTTTTCAATTATCTTTTTTTAATACAAGGGAATTAAGCCCAGGCCCTTTTCCACTAAGCAGGTGCTTAGACCACTGAGCTATCTTGCTGGCCCTCATCTTTCTTTATGACAGTGTGGTACTACATTGTGTATAAATCTTACATTTTCTTTATCAATTCATTGTGGACTGGCATGTAGGATATTTCCAAAATTTAACTACTAAAAATTGTGCTGCTATAAACATAAGTGTGCACGTAACACTGTAACATGATGTCTTTATTTTTTTATTTTATTTTATTTTTTTAAAATTTTATTTGTGTGTGTGTGTGTGGCCAGCTCAGCCCACCAGGGGGCGGGGCTGGCTGGCATGTGGTGCTGGGGGATTGAACCGCTGTCCCTGTGCTTTTAGTTTGTTCTAATAGGTGCTTTAGACCACTGAGCCATCTCACCAGCCCCAACATGATGTCTTT